GGCCTTTGAGATAATTGTGATATTAAGTTTATTAGTTTTGTTAGCTTGGTTTGAGTCGATTCCAGGTCTAACACCGGTTAAAGCGGTTAACATGTTAACCGATAATGATTTTTTTTAACCGGTTAAAATAAATAAATTTAGCTCCGGCTGAAATTCAATTTCCGGCCAGAATTAAGATTTTTATTATTGCAAAATATTGTTTAATTCCAGCCAAATTTATAGTACTGGCATTAGATATTCACAAATATTTTTAACTGGTTATTAACCGGTTAAAGAATTTTAGTTAATATGGTTTCCTCCAGAAAAAATATGATAATAAAGATAAGTTCGAAATATATATTTTTTAGTTTAATTAATGTATTATCAATTTAGTTCTTTCAACTATTCGGTTATTTGGATGATCTAATAAACGATTAATTTGAATATAATCGATTGATTAATCGAATACAAAATTTTTGACCGATTCAGACCTCTACTTTCAAGTACTTTCAAATTCCATATATAATTTACTTTTATTATTATAATTTAAGATTGTGGATAACTGCATTAAAGAAGTTTAAAGGTTTGTGTTTTTATTGAACATTAATCGAGACTTACAATCTTTCATGATTAAATCGCAGCTTGGAATATTATTCACTTTTATCTCTTGAGATATTCAATCATTATTATCAACAAGAAGAGGGTCAATCCCGTCAGTTTCTTCAATTATTTCTATTCATATAGCAACAGGTTTCCTATGATACATGATGAAAAAAAAAATAGTGTCACTTTGCATTTGAATAAAAAAGCAAAGAGAAATCTCGATCTCTAAGTGAAAAGAAATTATGGTATGTGTATTTACCTCCTCATTTAATTGTAAGAGCTTCTCTGTTTGCCAACATATCTTGCTGAAAAGCTGCACAAAGACATTCGAGGGAAGTAGAAATATCTAAAGAAGAAACTGTATCTGCTACTATTAATGATACATTAGAAAGAGCCATGTAAATTCAGAATTCTTTATAGTTGATGACGGTGAAAAGAATATTAGAAATTATGATGAAAGGCCTCGTTAAAGATTTAACTATTTTGATGGTGAAGGCATGTGAAATGATTGATATGCTGAATTTTAAAAATAAAAATAAATTCTGTTAGTAAATTATTGCAAGTTAAAATATATATAGTTACAATATATACTTTGCCAATTTTCATTAGCATTGGATTTTCGTCTGGATGAATTTATAATTGTATTACGACTTTCGATCAATAATGTTCAATGCCTTTTTGAGATAAACCGATTTAGTCAAAAGTAAAATAAAGTTCCATATTCAAGCAAAGTTCGAACATTAACAATGAATATTTAGATAATGAACCTTAATCTAAGAAATAATTAATAGAACAACAGCATAAATATAAAGTCCTACATTTATTCGTGAAAATATTACCCATCTAATATTATTATTTAAATCATGAACCTGCTAAACCTTAAATTTTTGTTGGCTAATACAATTTATTTCAACTATTTAGGAGGTAGGCTATTAAAATCACGTTACGGATCATATGATTTACTATATCCGTAACTCGATTTTAATGGCAAACCTCCCATTTATAGTTTATCAATCCCAATTCTCTGAAAGATAAAATTTAGGGGATTATGAACTTAGCGCAGAGTACAAGAACAATGACTGCCTATTAACAACTATCCTCGTTTGCAGTTTCAGCAAGCGCTATCAAAAGCTGACGGAGATATAGTTGGTGACCCTACCAAGAAAACACGGCATTCCCTTTTATAATCGAGAATTTTTTTTTGTTGCAATATTTGACGTAAATATATTGCAATCAAAAATTACCATGTCTCTTGATTTGTCCAAAAAAAATTAGTAAGTAAAGAAAAAATTTCTGAAAGAAAACTTACCTTAAAGACTGAAGAAATGTTCTATTCTAAATTAAATAATAAAAATAAATTACAAATAATAAAAAAAGAATTAATAAAAAAAATAAAATAAAGAATAATAATTAAAAAAACTACAAAATTAATTACCTTACAACAAATTGTCAATCCCTCTCTGGTTTTCAGCTCTTCTAACAGCTTCACGCTCATGCAGCTCCTTAGTTGTTGTTCTTGCCTAAATTGTTGTTGTCTCTGCTGCTGTTGCTGTCACCTTCGTTCATGTCATTCAACGGATTTCTCGTTTAAAATATTTGATTTTACTTTTTTTTTGCCCATGATTAATAGGTAAAAAGATAAAAAGATATTTGTAATGTAAGGAATATAAACCTTTTTATAATAAATCAAAAATACATGACGTTTATAAATGCATCACATGAAATTTGACTATATATAAATTCTATATCGCGTGAATTATTAATTAAAACAATACTTTTATTAAAAAATGATATATAAATATGAATACATCACATGGATTTCCTTATTAAACTCGTTAAAATATTCTGATTTTTGTTGGTCTATGCGAAGAAATCGAACATTTCTAATTTCCTATATTTTATAGTATTCAGTATCTTTTTCTTTTCATAAAAAAACTTTTGAATCCTCCCTTTCATTGATTATAAGAAATAACCATAAACTTGATTACAAATTAAAAAAAAAAAAAAAAAGTATTCTTAATAATACGTGTAAAGAGAAAAGGATGTTCTGGTTTATCACAAACCTTTTTTTTTAAAAAAAAAAAATATTATCAATAATGATGTTGAACTAATAAATCAAAGTTAAATTAAATGAATATAGCCAAAAGGATCGTCCCATATAAGGATACCATTTCAAAGCCTTACTAAATTATTTTGACATACTTTAATCTTCAAAAAGACATTCCTTGATATTTTAACAAAAAATACAAAAAATGGGTAAATTATATTTAATTGCATAACTTCATACTCGCACGATTCTTAGTTTTATTGATATGCTAAATTTTGAATTTTTGTGTCGCTTATTGTGTTCGGTGTGCATTTTGGATATGCGTTTTTTTTTTACTATAACGTCTACTGTAAATAACAGCGCGCTTCTCACTTTTTAGACAATCATCAATATACTATAAGTTGATTTATGGTAATTTACATTAAATTGAACATTTGCTCTAATTAAAATATATCTCGGAAGTTGACTTGGCTGCGCTTTACATATTTTTGACACACGAAATCTGTGGCGCATTTTTAAAATAGATCATTTCCAACAAAGTACAGAACAATAAATATGATTTTTGCAAGCTTGCGAGTTTAATAATCATACATATATTAAAAAAAAAATAAAAATAAAAAGGAATAATGTTTTCATTATTGTAAAAGTGTTACACCTCTCGATTTCATTTTCTACTGGCTTACATCATTATCATCGATTTACAGTAAAGAAAACAATGTTGTAGGCAAATATATTAGCCAAGTTTATATGACCAAATTTAAAATTCAATTAACATTTGGAAATGAAAAAGCATGCCGTGCATTTGTATAATTCTGGTTCTGTAATTAATAACTGATTTAGAGTTCTAATATGCCTTAAACCCAACCCTTACGGAGCACTAAATCTACTAATTTTGATTCTTTTTATAACTAGTTTATTAATTAAAATAATCTCATTTTTTTTTTTTCATAGAAATTTATTCACAATATTGTTAAATTAAAAAATATTAAAATGTATAATTTGATCACTAAAAGTAAATAATCAGAATAATAAGCTGATAATATTATACATAATTTGCTTTATTCTACATATTTATTCTACATACAGTATTTATTTCCGCTAAATAATTATCTCCTAGTTAAATTATTAATTATTGATTCTCATCTGACACTTTCCTCTCTTTACTCCTCTCGCTCCTCTTTCTCTTCTACAAATGAAGATGGTATCGTCCATCCAGAAGCTTCAGGTGGTGGTCATGTATTGTCTTTAAATGCATTATCGTCATACCATCGTTTTATTTGAATTTTTATGCATTGGATATTTTCACCAATATCATCTGCATGTTTAAGCAATTTTTTAACCTATAATACAACAAATAAAGAGCTATAAATAAATATAAATGAGTAAATATAACGTTATTTCTTTATACCCTTTGGGGACCTCCAAGGATTATCGTGCACACGGATCACATGCATATCCATTTCATTTTATTTTGGACGGATACATTGGATAATCTCATCTTACGCCTTTTCTTCATCAGTTTCGGATATTTCATCTGAATGAAATAGTCCTTCATTCACTATTTGTTCAATATCGATTGAACTTCCGATAAAATTGGATCGTGTTGTACATATGCTCAATCCCGCGCTTTCGTCTTTCTTTTTTTTCTTAATAAATAGCAATAAAAGATAAAGTCCCATGGGTGATCTGAGATCTCTAAAACTTATTGATACTTACATTGGAACCCTTTGAATTTGTTCTTTTCGTTTTTTTTCTATTTTTTCGCCACTCGATATTTTGAGAAAATTTTCCAGGATTCTCTTCTATGTAATTGTTGAAGGTCATTGTATCTGTTTCTTCAATTTATTGTCCTATCGATAGTTTGCTCGATATTTCATTCCATGGCTTCGTATGGTCAAGTAACAATGAATCACAAAACCATCTGAACCACTTCATCCTAATTTAAAATTGTTAATGGCAAAAATAATTAGTTTTAATTAATTTAAATCTGAAGCAAATATATATTTTATCTGATACCTTAAAGTCTTGAGCATTTCATGTGATTTTCGATCGTATCTTCCATTCTGTAGTTCCGAAGAAGATTCTCAATTAACATCGAAATCTTTATCTCGTTTTCAAAAGTTCTTTTAGAACATGACATGCTGGAATCTGGAGTTTTCGGAATGTAAAACTAACCTCGTCAGAACGCGGGATTAGCCTTTTTATGTCGAAGCTTCGCCAAAACAAGTACAAAACTCCATAAGTCTTAGAACTTTTTTGGGGCATGGTTTGAATCTGGGTTGTAAGCAAAACATCGTTCTCAACTTTTATGCGAAGTAACGCCTAAGCTAGTACAAAGATCACCTTATTTGAAGTTCTTTTTTAAAACATGGTTTGCACTTTGCTTTTAACCCTTAATATTTTTTCTAAATAGCTCCGAAGCGGTCTTATTATCAAGCAGATCTAGTCGATAATAATAGTTTAATCTCTAATGGTCTTTTGCAAAAATTCGAAGCAATCCCAACTCAAGTGAATGATCTTCAATTAATGTACCGATACTTGCACTCCCTAAATGCGAAGCGTCGAACTTATAAAATGTCAAGATAGAAATTTAAATTTAACCGAGATTACGTACAGTAAGTAGTTTATGAAGATGAGTTGATACACAAAATACGCAAACCATAGAATTCTGAAAATTTCTTTAATAGTAGTATTAAAAGTATTTTTTAACAGGAACTACTTTGGTCCTTAGCACTACCGTGTACTAAATTTCCTAAAATGGATTTTGACTAGGAGGAATATGTTCATCAGGTCGTCAGATGATAAAAAGTCTCTGTCGCCAAGTACGATTATTAGGATAATAATTGTTGCTATATCTATTATAGCAAGGACAAATGAAATTATTAAATGGCTACGGCCTAAAAACGATCAACCGAAAAGTAAAAAAAAAAAAAACAAATATGAAAATTAAATATGAAAATAATTAAAGAAACTACATACTCGCTGTCAGTCTACACGCTAAAAATTGATGCAACCGCAACGATCCAACCCACCTATAGTTGCCTGGAAAACTCATCTTAGCAAATGACAAATGTCGAAACCCATATGGGAGGGCGTAAGTAAAAAGAAGGAATCTGAAATTTTTGCTAATTTTGCTAATTTTTGAGCACATGACTGCGATCATTCAAGTGGACCAATTAAAATAATTAGATTTCCCGCCTTTTCTATTGACTTCCGCATATTTCGAAGGATTTGTTAATATTCATTTGCCAATGACCTCGTCGAGTTTTGCCAGGCATCTATAAACCCGCCGAACAAATAAAAATTAAAAATAAAAATAAATTAATTAGTAAAAAAAAAAAAAAATCAAAAACTACTTACGTCTAAATAAAAAATTAAAAAATAAAAAACATTTTAATTGAAAAATAAAAAATAAAACAAAAAACCTTTAATAGGAAGCTAAATAATTAGGAATAAACCAAAATAATTGTTACACCTCGAAGTGATATAAAATAAAATAAGAAAGTGAAAAAAAAAATTATATGATAATGATTCACCACTAGCGCGAACAATAACTACACCCCCGAGGCGATCTCATTGCTTATATATACTAAGGGAGTTCTCAAGCACTTAGCTCAATGAATCGGAAATAAAATTTTAATCAATCAGTTACTACAAAAAGATTCGTCAACGTGTAGTCAATCAAATATTATATGAAATGTGTAGGTTATACATCCCGCAATGGATTTGATGCAAATTTATTTCTTTAATAAATATTTTAAAATCTTACAATTTATAAAATTTATAAGTCCAAATTTTTCAAATTTATTAAATTCAGTCTTAAAAATCGCTACGGCAATGTCTGTAATTTTTAAACATTTTATGTTTCGATTTCACTTTATTAATTTTTTTTTAAAAAAAATAAAATCTAATAATTACAACCAATATTTTTTTATTTTGAACTGAGTGTGAATTTTTTAAAAGTTCGCTAACCACAATTTTTTTACATTATATTTCTTACTTCGTTCATCAATGAAATTTTGTTGGTGATTAATTCGTAGTGAAGTTCCATCATAGAAGTAAAAAAAAATTAATGGTAATTTCAGTGAATAAGGCGCAGCAAAATTAGCAGCTGACACCGTAATTTAGAAAATTGCTCTTTCAGTCGAAATCCTCGTTAATGCTTTAAATTTTTACACGTCTTAATATTAAAGTCTCGGCTAGTATAAAAATCAATTAGTATATTCATACAGGAAATTAATAATTAACGTTTTATATAAAAAATTGTAAAAACTTTTATTTTGTTTTTCAATTTTGACTTAATAAATATTTGCAAATCTTCAAAATCCCGGGAAACTTCATATTTATGTGACACCTCGAAAAAGCAAAACAGAAAGCTCAAAAATTAAATTTCACAACCTAGTATGACAATTCGCTAGGACCTTACAAATAATTTATATTTTGAATGTAATGAATCAAAACGTGATTTATTTCCTTATTATCGCGTAATTTCATTAAACTTTGCCTCCCATTTTCTTATCGATTGTGCCGCAGCTCGTGAATTTCAAAATCCTTGTATGTATATTAATTACTTGTCTCGAATTTCTAAATAATGTGTTATTAATATTCCAAACTAATAAACTCACTAACTTTGCAATTCATGTGTTCGTTTATAAGCTTTTTGACTTTTTTTTATGAAGCAATATTCTCACTTTTGTAACTTTTTTATATTATTAAACTTTACCTAGAATGACATTTAACTTATTATATAGTGTTATTAGAAAAGCTAGACGTTTAAGAACAGTACAGTTAAATTATAATCATAATAATAAAGGAATATTGAGCAAAATACCTAGTGAACATAATAATGATTATCGATTTGATGATTTTGCTAGTACAATTAGTTATTAATCATTTATTTTGTTATTATGTCAAATTGTAAATTACTATTTAATAACTAATTATTAATTTATTTATTGAAAGTGCAATTTTTATAATATTTCTTAACTATCGTCACTTTCGTGTATTTGTGATCTTTTTTTTTCATAGTATGATCTTTCATCGGGTACATGTGACGCAGAATTAATTGACCATCTTTTTGCATAAGGGAGGTAAATAATTACCTTTGGATGAAATATTTTGTCATTTTATATTATCAAAAGGAAAAATATTTTTTTTGGGAAAACGCGTAAAAGAAAAAAAAAGAAATATCATGTTTTTATTGGAAAAAAGGTTTAATAAAAACTAAAGAAAAAAAAGTCATAAAAATTTAAATTAAACTATTTTGTGTAAACCGATAAAACAGTTACTCGGCACCGCGTGACTGTAACTGCGGCCTTACATGTATTTGAATTTGCTGAGCGGAGCTCAGCAAATTCAATCATATTGCTTATTGCAAATACAACAGTTACTGCCGAGTAACTATTACTTATAGGATAGGATGTATTAAGTATTTTGAATTCATGAATTTTTTAGAATATTTTAATAATTGTTGCATAAATTAATTTCTTAATGAAATAAATATGCAATCGATACTCATATATTTAAATTAGATGCGATTTAAGCAAATAATTAAAATATGAGTTTAATGTTTATTAATCTATGTATTTAATAATACATATCAAATACATGATTTTCAAAAATAATTAAATAAATTATATATCAAAATATATGGTTTTAGAAATATAATCTATGAAAAATTCAAAATAATTAATTTATGTAATTTATAGTGAATTGTACTTGAATTATTAATATTACTTACTATTATCAGATTCATTGCGATTATCTTCATCGAATTTGATTTGTTTAATTTTTTTATCTGGAATAACATCAAAAATATTAAGTATATTATCATTATTTGATTAATTAATAAACTTATTTATACCATTGTCATTATCTTCAATTAAATAATCGTCAAGATTTCTTTTACCTTAATAAATACACAAGGTTAGTAATATTATCAAGTAATTAATTGTGTAATAAGTCCTATTTACCGAATAAACCACTCCTTGTAGATTCTGCTGATATCGTTATTACTTTACTTGTGACTGGATTTTTTATTTTGACAGGCCCAATATCTGGAGAATAAATAATTATTGTGGAATTTATTTTTTCTTTCAAAATCATTTTATCAATAAAATCACAAATAGCTTCAGTAGTTAGTCTTTTATTCGGATCAGAATGCCAACATTTTTGCATTAATTCAATATATCCTTCAGGCGCATTTGTGATAATAGGAGGACGAATTCCATCACAAATTTTAATAATAAGATCTGTATCATAATTTTGATTCCAAAA